CAGGGGTTCAACTGCCTCTGTCTCCTGAGTGCTGGGATTAAAGGTGTGAGCCTCCACTGCCTGGATTCTAGCCTTCCATCTCTAAGGCTGCTCTTAAATAGGGACAGGCTGTCTTTCTTTTAGTTGTTTGTTAAGGCAACATGTATAAGAGTCACATATGACTTGCCCTACTTACTCAGCATCCCCATATGCCACAAACAAGAACATTTCCACCCAAAAAGGGAAGAGAATTTGTAATGACTTTTCCAGTACTAAGCAGAGTGGCAGACTGAACAATGACACCCCAGGAGGTCCACATTCCTAATCACCGGCGTTTGTGAACATGCCACTTTACATGGCCATAGGCACTTCAAAGATATGACTATGAAAAGAGATGAACTTGGGCTGTTTGTCTGGTACCAAAGTAGTCTAAGGACACAGGGATGTTGGAATGACAGGGGATGTGATGGAGTGATGTCCTTGCTGGATTAGTGCTCTGGGCCAGGAATGCTGAGGGTCTCCAAATGCTGGAAAGGGCAAGGAATGGGTGCTCCCCTTGAGCTCCAGAAGGAACACAGACTCAACAGCATCTTGAGTTTAGTTTCAAAGACCGGTTTTCAGACTTTTGACTTCCAACGTTCCATACTTTAGGTGTCATAAGCCACTGTTTTTGGTAACAGAAAACGAATCCAAACGTGACCCTGGAAAACCCACAGTTTCTAAAGCTGAAGTCATAGTGAGTTTCCAGTCCAAGTAAGAAGACACTAAATACTCAGAACAACAGTCTGCACCATCAGGTTCAGCGCACGAGGAAGCTTAACCTCCCAGTCAAATTCTCCGAAATCTCTGAACTATTCCTTCAACAGCTCTTAACTGTGAGGCTCATCAGTGGGACTGGAGGCAAACCAGCCTTTTGAAGGGTCAATATATTCACTATATTCATGGAAATTTGCTGTTGGAATACCAGCCACGCTCTCCACAGGTGACTTAGCAAAGTGGCAAAAGTCAGGCCAGAAGCCTCAGGAGGGAAGAATGCTCACACAGGGCTGCAGAGAGGCAGGCGACGTGCAGCTGTCAGAGCGGGCCTAACTGAGAACTTAAATACCCAACACCATGGTCCTTTGTGGGTAGAATGAGCAAGATAAGAGCATGAGGAAGCTGGGCATGAGGGGCAACTGCCAGTAATCCCAGCGCTTGGGAGATGGAAACTAAGAAGAGGAGAAATTCAAGGCCAGTTTAGGCTTCGTGAAGCCATTTCAAAAGAGCACAGGGATTGTGTGCAGCCCCTCTGGGGAAGGGCACTTTCCAGAACTTCCTAGAATGAGATCTGGGGATAGAATCACAGTCTTAAGCCTATCCATTAGTGTAAAAAAAACCAACATAAGTACTCTGTTTCAAAACCAACTCAGATACCAAGTCACCTACAAGGCACAACTCAAACAAAACAAACTAACAAAAAAACTTGGATTAGGGAGTTCGAGCGTCTGAGTTCTCATTTCTTCATGAGTTGTTTGTGCTACACCAGATGAAGGCATCATTATCTCTTAAGTTTGATTTCTTTGTCTTAAAAAAATGTATATGACAGCTTTTTACCATATCCGCTTTGAGGATTAGGCTAAATCACAGGTTCAAAGAATCAACCCCCATGGAAAACTTAATAAATGTCAGCAATTGCAGCCAACTTTCTTTCCCAGCATCCTTCAGGTTGTGCTTTTCCAATGTATTCCCACAGCGGCTGCTCTAGGTTCTTTGTTGTGATAAACATCATGGCCAAAAGCAACTTGGGAAGCACAGGCTTATTTTACTTTACAGGTTAGAGTCATCTGTTGAGAGAAGCCAAAGCAGGAGCTCAGGGCAGGATCTAGAAGCAAAACAAAAATGGAGAAGCCTCACTTCTGGTTTGTTCCTGCTGACTTGCTCCGTTGGCTTTCCTATGAAGCCCGGGTCCATGGACCTAGGGATGGTGCTGCCCACAGTGGATTGGGCCTTCCTACATCAACTAACAATTTAAAAATGCCTCACAGATAAGATCACAGACCAGTCTGATGAAGTTAACTTCTGAGTTGAAGGTTCTTCTTCCCGGGTTACTCAAGGTTTGTATCACGTTGAGAGCTGAAACTATAACAGTGGGCAATGTATAACTCCGTCTTCATTTCACTTTCTTAAAATTACAGATAATGGGGGAGGAGGCAGGATAGGGATATCATGAGTTCAAGGCCAGCCTGGATTACATAGTGAGACCCTTAATAAATAAATAAACAAACAACTAAAATTATAGACTCTGTGAATAGGAAGCCTTCAAAGGCAGAGGAGGTTTCATTCACTCATTTACGCTTAGCGTCTAGCACAGTGTGGCTGTTTGGGGTTCTTTTTTTCCATGATGATCTGACTTGTGAGTTAAGGATCTGAGTCACCAGCCATCATCTGTAACTCCAGGATTTTTTTTTCTTTACGACTGTGACCCATTAGTTGATAAAATAAAATGAATCCCAATCAGCATTGATTTTTTTTTCCTAAAGAAATACCATAGGAAAGATCTGAGTATAAAACCATGGTAGCGTTAGGTATTGTCACATGGAGCTTTGCGAGTGTGTTTGGTTGCATTGCAAATGCATTTCATATTGTGGGTTTGGGCTCATTAATAGTGTGGCCATCCACCTTGGCGGCAATTGGCATTTTCTGATGTCTTGATGACAAGTGAGGTGAAGCATTTTTCACCGTGTCCCCTTTGGATACCTTGTTTTTAGAAACCGCTTTTGAAACCTCTTATAAAACAATTTGGTAGTATTCCTAAAGCTGAACATGCAGCTCCTGCTGCCCAACGATCCTACTTCTACTTGTTTACGTAGTAAAAATATGCACACACATTCTCAAATGGCACGTACAAAATGTTTATGACGTCACTATCTTGCTAGCCCCAAACTTGATAGTCCCCAAGTAAACCGACATGTTAACACACAATAGAATCTTAGAAGAAAGAATAGATCAATCACAACTGTACACAGGAGTGTTAAAGAAGCCCAAAGGCATAAGAATAAGTAGGAAAAAAAAGCTGCATGAAAGTTCATGCCTAACTCGAATTACATGAAATTTAAAACTAGGTAAAACTAAACTGTGTAGTGGTACCACGAGCCTTTAATCCCAGCAGAGGCAGAGGCACGAAGATCTCTGTGAGTTCAAGGCCAACTGGCTCTACAGTGCAAGTATCAGGGCAGTCAGGGTTACACAGAGAAACTATGTCTCAGAAAATCAAAACCAAAACAAACCAAAACAAACAAATGAACAAACAAACAAAAACGTAGATAAAACTAAGCCATGGTGCTAAAGTTGGGGCAACTATAACCTAGGAGGCATAAGTAAGACAGATTTCATAAGTGCAGGCATGGTTCTTGATCTGTAGCCCATCATATTCATACATTCAGTTGGTGAGTTGTGAGACCTTGACACAATTACTTTGTGTGTGTGTGTGCATAATTGTGTGTGTGTGAATGCACATATATGTGTATGTCAGAAGACAGTCTGGAGTGTCATTCTTCAGGTGCTGCACACACACACGCACACACACACACACACACACACACACACTGAGAGCAGGTCTTTTACTGGTCTATATGTCGTTCCAAAGGACATATGTAGCTGCCTTTTTTCTTTCTTTTTTTTTTTTTTAAATGTAGGTCCTGAGGAAAATTCTCAGGTCCTCATCCTTGCAAGACCAGTACTTCCTTTTTTGATTGAGTTGTCTCCCTAGCTCCAAAGTGACTGTTTTTAAGACGTGAGAAACACTGACAGAAGACAACAGTCCCTGATACACTCACTCTCCTCCCCATCAGGTACTCCTGACCTTTGCCTGAATACAGCCAGGGTCAGTAATCTTCCCGGATTGGGTAGCCCAATGTCTCAAGGGTGTTTCCTGCCATGGAACCATACCTTGCCTCTTTGAAACTTGCTCCATCCATCAGTTGTTCCTCCTTTTATGAGATTCTAAACTCTTCTAATCCCCTACCACCAACTGCTCGTCAGATCTTTGAATAGTGCTGGCCTACCCGCCCTCTCTCCAGACTTAAGAGTCCCAGGTCTCTTGGCCAACCCTCAAAGCAGGGCTTTGAGCCCCACCCTGTCTGTTGTCTGCACTTCTTTTTAAGATCCCATGAAGCCCCAAACAGAGCACAGTTTTCTAGGAGAAGAGACAATAAAGGATGATTGACCTTCCACATGGAGAAAGTTCACTTCCTCCACCAACGCACCCTGTGGGCAATTCGTCCTTTCTTCAAAATTCACCATACACACTTCACTCTGTTGAAATTAACAATCAACTGGAAAACCCCATTTTTTGCATGATTCCTGTTGAACCCCAATTCATTTTCTGTGTTTGTAGTTTTCACTGTCTCAGGAGTCAGAACAATCTTGTGGCCCCATGCCAATATCCCCAAAGCTAAAGTCTGGTGATAAAAAAACCTCTCTGGGTCCGGGTGGTGGTAGTGCACACCTTTAATCCTAGCACTCAGGAGGCAGAAGGCAGATGAATCTCCGAGAGTTCGAGGCCAACCTGGTCTACAAGAGCTAGTCCCAAGACAACTAGGACTGTTACACAGAAAAATCCTGTCTGGAAAAACGAAAACAAACAAGCAAAAAACCTATATGGAATACAGTCTTCACACACCAAGAGACTCTCGCGAACAAACAAACAAAAACCTAACAGGGTCTCTAATCCTTATCAATCACTTGTAGGAGCTTCATTTTGAAGAATATTTAGAGAATAATGGGATGTGGAGAAAACAGTATTCCACCACCATCCCGGCAAACTGACCTACCCCAGACCCGCCCTGGCCTCGGTCTGGGCAGTGGAGGTGCCCAGACCCCTTTCCTTCCCTCGCCCACAGTGAGCTCAGCCCGGAGGCTCTAGAGATGAGGCGTACTGGCCTCCTTGGGTTGCTGGCATGGGGCTTAGGGAAGGGTGAGGTGGATGGAGGTAGAAAACGTGGCAGAGTGAGAACGAACCCGACACGTTAAAAGTACCGGAAACTAAAGGTGCCCTGGGGGAAGCCTACTGGAGTCTCTCCAGTCTCTAAAGAAAAACCCTTCCAATTCAGGAAAAGATAAGCGGACTCAGGGCTGCAGAAAAACTTCCAGGCAACCCCGGGCGGTTTTGACGTCAGGAGTAGGTGGAAAGGAGAGTCACCAATCTAGGGACATGCCAGAGAGCAGAGCGCGTGCTGGAGGCTGGGAGAGGTGGCCTGGGAACCAGGGAGGCGATCGGACAGAAAAGGGAGCTTTCAGAGGCCTCTAATGGTGAGGGGCGGCAGTGGGAGGGAACAGGGCAGGGACCCCAAGTCCACAGGCGGCGATGGAGAAGCCGCTCCCTACCTGGCCCAGGTCTGCTCCATGTTCCAGGCGCTCTCCTTGCTCTCGGGGTGCCGCTCACCCGGGGGTGGCCACAGCCCGGGAAGATACCAAGCCTTGCCCAGGAGTCTCCAGCGCAAAAAGCCTGAGTCTCTTCCTCCTCCCCAGCTCCTCTTGGCGCTGGCGCCGGCGGAGGACAGAGATCTGCTCTCTGCTTTTTGGAGAGAGAGAGCTGATCGGCCGCGGCCGCGCCCTCGGCTAACGGTGCGCCCGGCACAAGGCAGGGACTGTTCTCGGGAGGTGGCTGAACGCTGCTGCTGAGGCCGAGCCCAGGCCCCGGGCACACTCGCTCCCAGCCTGAGACGCGACTGGCTGGCACGAGCTGATCCGCACCAGCTGAGCTGTCAACCGCGAGTGAGCGGAGGCGGGGCTCCCTGCAACCCAGGACCCGCCCAGGTGACACGCCGAGGCACACACCCTCTGGCCTCCACCGCCTCTCTTGCAGACTCGGAGGAATGATGGCCTCAGAAGTAGCCTTCGATGACCCTCGTCCTACCCTCTGTTCCCTTTCTCATCCCAGTGAGAGGCTTTGGACAAAACCAGCCAACTGCAAGGGAGCACCTTGGAGAAGGTGGTCTTCCCCTGCGTTGCGTCACCACCCACAGGTAACCTCTGAGCCAGAGATAGAGTCTAAGAAGGAAATTCATTTGTGCCTACTAGAGCAGCAAAAGGCACAGGTGATTTGAGATGTAAAAGATGAGATATGTTTTAGCTTCACCAGCCATCTACGGGCAGAAACTTGTCCAGGAAGCAACCCTCCGAACCAAACCGTGCAGTCTTTTTAGCTGCCCCCATCTCAATAAACCCCTGGTTTTGCACTATTCTGTCTCCTTGCTTCTTAGTTCCCACAGCAACCGGGCTCTACCAGAAGTTCCCAGGATGCAGAGGGCTCCTGAACATCACATAATGCTCCGAAGGCCTTCAGAGACTTCAGAGGGGTCCCCAGGATGTGGACTCTCTACCATGGCTGTTCTGAGATCACACGGAAAGCCTTTGCTTCCAAGGCTGGGGCTGCCCAGACCCTGTGCATCTACGTAAGTACCAATGTTTAAACAGACAGGCATACTGTAATTAGACGGCTAGCCTCCTGAAGCTCCCTTTTAACTCTGAAATAAACCTTTTTATTAAGTCGCACGATCACTGTTATCATTAGCTTTACCGCTGGCCTTTTAATTTCAAAAAGCTTTATAACACCTGTATTTGGTGATGTCGATTTAGTTTGTGGATACCACGTTTAAGAATAAGAAGGCTCGACTTTGCTCAGGCTCTGCTAAGGCCGCTAGCATGGCTATGCTCTCCAAATTGCCAAAGATAGATGGACAAGGCTTTTCTAGAAGGAATCCATTCTTTCAGGAAGTCCTGCAATTAGACTCAGGGGAGAGAGCCGGCATAAGTGAGTGCTGGTGGAACTGCCAAGAACCAGTACTGTGGCAGGAAATTGCCAACACCTCCAGGGTCTTGGACTAGTTCTCATCACCAATAGGAAGCCTGGAAGGGAAGGACCTCGTAACATACACTGGGTTTCAGAGGAATTGTTTGAAAATGTTCTAGTCCAGAATCTTCCCATCCCAACGCTCAGTTTGCAGCGAAAACCACACTGCTCTTGAGATTAGAATCTTTTCTCCTTTTCTGTTCATTTAAAATGTTACCAGGAGGAGACAAAATTAAGGTCCAGTTTGACACTAGGCAAGACCGACAAGCCACCTGTCTTGAAAAGAATCTGTTGCCTTGCGGGAGGGGCAGGGAGCTCAGGTTTCCATTCCTCCTAACAAAGTTGATGCTATATTTAGTTGTGTCTGAAATCAAATTATGGGCTGTTGAGCTGTGGAGAGAGATTCTGTCTACAGCCAGACGTACACTGCTTCAGCAGAGAGACACGCTAGCTAGGTGAACGGTGGCCTCCGGGAAGCTGGGCTCAACAAATAGGCTTGTGTGCTTTTGAAAGGGCTTCTTTTCAGCTACCACAAAAATGTATAACATATTTATCGCCGACCATTCAGAAGTTACAGAAAACTATGTAGAAAATAAAATAACTCTTAACACCTAGTGAGAGTCGATGTTTGAAGCTTATGAATCTCTTCCTGGTCTTTGAAAAATGGACTTTCAATGCAAGTACGAGCTCACTTACACACATAAATGTTTTCGTGAGGAAAGAGACTTTTTTGGCGTCTAAACACTTTCATTTTTTCTTAATTTTCAAAAGGAAAGCACTTGTCTAAATAGCACAAATCCAGCAGAAATGCTTATGTTTCTCCAGGTTTCTTTTAGTTGTGTTTGGTTGGTGCATATTTATATAGCTGTAATTACAGCTTAGGTCTACAGAGTCAATCGCCCCTTTCCACTTGCTAGATATTTGTTCATGTTTTCAGGAACTGATCATATTTATACTCCAATGATTATGCTATATTTTTATATATGCTTTAATCGATCAAAATCAGTAGCCTACTTAATCATATTATTTTGTCGAATAGGCATGCCATTTTTAATATGAGTGTCAAATAATACTTTAGTGAACTTTTTTCTGCCTCTATTTTGCCATTCTCTAATTATGCTGTATTTTGAACATATGGATCCCACTTATATTGGAACACAAAGAGTGGACCTAAGAAGTAAGGTCTTCAGGGAATAGTTAAGGCACGGGTGTTATATTCTCAAGAACTGGGTTGGTGTTTTTATAAAAAGAGGTTAAAGAAAGTGCCCTGGTCTCTTTCTTTTTCTCTGTCTCTCTCACCATGTCAGGATATAGCCTGTGTTCCGTCACAGAACACATACAAAAGGGCATACAAAATAGGGACCCTCTTGAGAGCAGAGAGCCAGTCCTCAGCACACAATGAGTCTTAACCAGTTTCCCAAACTGTGAAAAACACAGTTGTATTATTTATAAATGATGAAGTCTAAGGAAACAACAGGAACAGACTAACTAAATCACAATAGTGTTGGGGTAAAATGACCCCAACTTTATCATCGTACATGTAGTGCAACAGCAGTAAAATGTATCATTAGTTTATATAACCGAGAAATAATGTGATAGATATAAGTCAGTTTGGGTCTCTGTTACTACTTATAATCTAATGGCATCTCATTTTCCTTTACATTTATTTTAATGCTAATTAATAAGTCTTATTAATTAATTAATCGATTGATCAATCAGTCAATTAAGCTTACTTGGGAAGCATTATCCAGTCTACAGAACATCCCTCTGAGGTGAGTCACTGTGTGTCAATCATGTTCCTGCTGCAACAGTGCGGCTTAGCACAGACCTCAGGGATCTGGTATCTGCAGACTTCACACTCAGGGACCTGTGGCTGAAGGGTAGTTGGGTTGACTGTGGGCTGTTTGCTCCACAGACCACTTGTTCTGGGACCCATATGGAAGAAACAGCATCTGCCTGAGGAACATTTGTCTCTGGCAATGTGAGGCAGAGAGAGTTGACTGACACTCATGATGTCCCTTACGTCTCTGCTCAGAACTGGCACTCCATTCCTTCTGCCATATTCCACAGAATAAGTCAGATGGTTAAGTCCAAAGTCACTAGTGGAAAAATCCCACAGGCGATGCACAGAGTGCAGGAGTGGAGGGTAGGTATCTGTGTGACCCTAATATATCCTGCTGGCCACTATATGTAGTGGTCCCACAATTTTTGTCAATCCCTCCCCCCCCAAGAGATGCAGGCTAGCTTTTACCATTCCTCACTCCCATTTAAAATTAACTGTGGAATTTAGTAAAGGAGACATCACTCGCTTTGGCCTTTAAAATATGAGGGGCACTCATCATTTCTAAGTCGAGTGTAGATGCTAAGAATCAGAATATAATCAGCCTTAGCTGTTTTCCACCACCGTATTAATAGAGCAATTATGCCAAGCCAAGGTTTCCACCAGCCCAGGCCTCTGAGGGACTGCAATGATGGGGGCCTCTCCTCTGACCTACATTGAAATAAGGTGAAACTACATCACAAAAATTAAGTTCCTGGGGGGCTGGAGTTGACTCCAGGGTTAAGAACACTCGTTCCTCTTGCAGAGGACCCAAGTTCAATTCCTAACACCAACATGGCAACTCACAACAGTCAGTAACTAGTCCCAGGGGATCCAACCCCCTTCTCTGGTCTCACGTGCTGCACAGATATATGAGCAGGCAAAACACTCATGCACATAAAATAACTAAATAAATAGATCTAAATTTTTTCAATTTTTTTTTAAAAATGAATATTTAAGTTACTGAGATTTGGGGACTTTTGTACCACAGAGCCTGGCCTGTTGTGATAACTTTATGTCACTCCCATTTTGAGACTGAGATCATTTGGTCAGTATTGCACATGGTACTTATTATAAATCTGCTCCACGTTTTCTGTACGAAAGCAGAGGTAAACTGTATTGATGATGCTGATTGATTCATCCAGGTGCGCTGCTCTTCCCTGGGTGCGTAGCTTAGCTGACTGAACTGACTTTAAACTTTTCCAATCATTTCCAAGCACCCAGTGGTATCTTCCCTTCCCTTCAGCTTGGTCCTGACTTTCTTCCCTCCATCTTGACTTTGCATGAAGGGAACTAATGATCTTGATGTGAATGGCTGTGTGACTTAAATGTAATAATAAAATAGCTACGTCTAACATACTGTATCAGGCTCTCTTCTAAACTAGCTCCTCTTGTAGATGCGCTAACTTTATAGGTAGACTCTAGTTAGCTCCATTTTATAAATATTTATGTGGAACCTGGGGAGATAGAGTATATTACCTAGTAACAACGTTGATAGTTGAGATCGGACACAAGTAAGCTTAGTTCTAGAATGTCATGCCTGCCCATTAGGTGTGACACTGCCCAGATTTTGACACCCAGCATTCTCTGCACACTTATCTGGGAGGACAGTACACCTAAGCATCCATCACGTCACTGGTTGCCATGGATGCATGCTTAGATGGGAGGAGAGTACACCTAAGCATCCATCAAGTCACTGATCGCTGTGGTTCATTCCACAGACTTGATTAGTTAACAGGTATCCTCCTGGTCCCTCTCAGTGCCCTGCCCATCTCTCTAACTCTGAGTTAAGATAAATATCCTTTTGGGACAGAGTAAATTGTCCAAGACCAAGGAAGACACAGTTTCCTTGATACTTTTCCCATTGAGAGGTAGACTATAATTTTTTACTCTAACTTACATTAGCTTGGGGAACTTGCTTGACTAATAGCATTCTGTTAAGACATCTAACTGTCAGCGCTAGGTCAATAAGAAGCCTCCCAGATAAGAAATCAAACTGCTAAACAATGTGGCGAGGCTGGAGACTATGAACAGAACAGAGGCTTAGTATGCCATCATCAACTGGACGAAACCAAACAATCGCCCATGTGGCCATGATGGGGGTACACCTATCCTCTGACCTTACTAGAACTACTGACCACCACTAACCATGTTATAAGAAAACACCTACTGTTAAGCTTATAAATTTGAGAGTATTTTGCTAAACAATAGTAAATAATTGGAATTAAATTTAATATCTAGAAGTGAGGTGTTGTAAGTGGGCAGGGAGTGTAATAGACAGTCACAGCAGGCATCAGCAGGCCTCTGGGGGAAGGACCCTGTGGAGCCTGAGGGAGAGCCCCGAGGGCACTGAAGAAGCGATTACACAGAACTGGGTGGGAAAAACCTGAACTGTATTTGCAGAAAGAGTATATAAATCAATGTAGGAAACAGAAAATGAGCCGGGCAGTGGTGGCGCACACCTTTAATCCCAGCACTCAGGCAGCAGAGGCAGGTGGATCTCTGTGAGATTTAGGCCAACCTGGTCTACAGAGTGAGTTCCAGGACAGGCTCCAAAGCTACAGAGAAATCCTGTCTCAAAAATCAAAAAACAAACAAAAAACAAGAAGAGAGAGAGAGAGAGAGAGAGAGAGAGAGAGAGAGAGAGAGAGAGAGAGAGAAACAGAAAATGTAATGAGGATGTTCAGATGGAGTTTCAAAAATGCTT